TAAAACCCGTAAAATAATAAAGGCAATGTTTTTCTGGATATGAACAACTGCAGTAAAAAGAAAGAACTAAAGTGCAAAGTTCAGCTATTTCAAGGTAATTGAAACATTTCTGATGCCTAAACTTTATTTTCTTCTGCAACACAATTTAATTTACAGCCCCCAAATTCCTCAAAATGCTGGATTCTAGGAAATGTAGAGGGGAAAAAGCAAAACAAGCAAACTAACTTCTTGGGCTTAGAACCAAAGCAAGGCCATGAGCATGTCTGCACACATCAGGACCCCCAAAATCCTACCATTGTAGTCACATAATTCGGAAGACAGCCTAGTGAAAACTCCTCAGTCTTTGGTGTTGTATACCATGACTCAGTTTGCCAGCCTACCTCCCAAATAAGCTGTGTCAGACTCTGAAATTAGAAAACAGTACTCGTACCTGACTCAGTCAGCATGATGATAGCTTTAATAAAAGTTGCTAACAGGACTATGCATCTCCTAACCTGCAGGATTCATATTTTAGTTAACAGATGTACATTCATTAAGGAAAGTAGAGAAATTAATTCCTCATTCTGATAGGACCCTCATCTCAGATCTTCCAGGGGAACAACCAAGTTACTGGGGAACTCTTGCTGAGGTCATGCAACTGCAAGACTCTTGAAGACAAATGCAAAATGGGCACATGAGAAAACTCTATGGATTACATGGCTATGCTATCACCTGGGAGAGAACATCTTCCTATCTCTTCTTATGGGATTATTTATTTTCTATTGAATAACAGTGAGGGGAAAATGAACAAACATTCTTGAAAAAAGACCAGAAAATACAGTCACATCTCTCCCCCCCACCCCCAGCAAACTATACAATCTGTCATGCTTTTTTTCCAGAACAGTGAATATTGTATCCTGTCCAGTTTTAACAACCAGATTGGATGTTGAAATGGTAGTCAGTTTGCCAGTTTTGGGTGACCACCAAATGTTTACACCTGAGATAGGAACAATGCCCCATTGCAGTTGGCACAGCCCTCACCAACATTTTCACTAGAGAGCTGCTCAACTCCTTTAGACGAATGACTAGCAGCTATTTACATCAGGAATAGGTTTGGGAAGGCTTCTCTCACAATTTGAGTTCTTACCTGAAGAAGAGAGGGGCAGGATTTCCAACACACTCCTGGCTTTCTGCTCCTACTGCGGTTTTTGCCTCCTTTTAAAAATAGTTATTATTAAAGGCTTTCATCTGTGTTCACTTAAAAACCACTGCAACAGTGTAAGCACCATGAAAGCATTACAGTGAGATGCAAAAGCTCAGCTAGAACTTAAACTAGCCATCTTTGTAAAGGATAATAAGAAATGTTTTTTATAAATACATAAATAACAAAAGGAGGCTCAGGGAAAATTTTCATTCCTTATTGGATGAGGGGGGGAACTTTGTAATGGAGGACAAGGAATAGGCTGAGATGCTTAACACCTTCTTTGCCTCAGTCTTTAACAAAAAGAATAGCTACCCTTAGGACAACTGGGCTCCTGAGTTGGTAGACGGGGATGGGGAGCAGAAATCCCCTCCTGTAATCCACGAGGAAGTGGTTAGGGACATGATGTGCTACTTAGATCCCAACAAGTCCACGGGTCCAGATGGGATTCATCTTAGGGTGCTGAGGGAGCTGGTGGAAGAACTGGCCCAGCC